ACAACACCCCCTCCTCCAAAAAAACTGAAACGATGACAGACTTTCAACGTCTACCTGTGGTGCTATTAAACCCTGAACTTAAACCCCCTAAATCCTGAACCTCAAGACCAAAGCTTGCCAAACCCTAAACCCTAAACTCCTCAACCCTGAACCCCAAGCCTGAGCCCTAAACCCTCTTAACCCTAAACCCTCTAAACCCTCTTGACCCTAACTCCCTCAACCCTAAAGCCTTAACCCTTTAGGGGGCCTCCCAAACGCTGATCTCGGCGGGCGCGGCCGCCCGCTGCATGTCGTCACGGAGGTCAGGGACCTGGTCTGAGGGTTGGGACTTAGGGCTTCGGGGGTTTAGGGTTTAGGGTTTAGGGTTTAATTCGGGTTTCGGGGTTTTGGGGGTTTAGGGGTTGGGGGTTCTGGGGTCCTGAAGAAAAGGCTGCATCCCTCGAGGAAGGCAGAAATCATACCGGTGCCTTCAAGCCGTGTGCAACTTAGCTGCTGAGGTCATACGCGCCTAACAAAGTGCAGTTCTATAGGGGATTAGAGAATCCCCAAAAAGAGAATAGTGTACTCATTCAGCTGCTAAAGGCAACCCAAAACACCCCAACCTAGCGGCTGCAACGTAGTGCCTTAGGCAAGAAGAGCAAGCTGAAACAAATCCAGACTCCAAAAACCTCTAACCCTACGTCATGGACACTAAACACGAATTCCAGTCTTCATCTTTCAGCCCGGGCAAACCCGCCGAGCGGTTTAAAGGGGCCTGTTAGGGTTCGCCACGAGACATTTGCGGACCTGCTTCGGGCTTCGAGGGGCCTACTACTGGGGTTTATTGAGGTCAAGGGTGGTGCAGAGGGTATGAAGCATAGCTGAATGCTCCAAGGCACAGCTAGCTCTACCATTTCCATGAACGGTCGAACCGATTCCAGGCCTTACCGAGAATCCCTAAACCTTATACCCTAAACCCTAAACCCTGAACCTCCTTTTGCATGCACTATCATATAGGGTACCCGAATGAGGACTTGGGATGTTCAATAAGGATTAGAATAGGGGCGTACTATAATCCCGACTAAGGACTGTTAGTATAAGGGGGAACATGCCAAGGTACCCGGGTTTAGGGTTTAGGGTTTAGGGATCTAGAGAGGCTCGCAGCTTTTTGCGCGGGGCATCCTCCCACTTCGGCAGAAGCTTCGCATGTGTGACTGCACCGCGCCTCATAATTGAAGGAGTGGGCCCTAAACCCTAAACCCTAAACCCTAAACCCTAAACCCTAAACCCTAAACCCTAAACCCTAAACCCTAAACTTGACCCCTAAAACCCTAAACCCTAAACTTGACCCCTAAAACCCTAAACCCTAAACTGAGTGGGCAAGGGCTGTCTGATGCAACATGGACATCTGCGCCACCGACATCACAAGACCCAGAGAATCTCTAAACATCGAACACTAGAACGGAAGTAACGGTTTGGGGTTTAGGGTTTAGGGTTTAGGGTTCAGGGTTTAGGGTAACCTAGGAATAAAAAGGGTACCCTTTTTGGTTTTCAGGGAATTACAAGGGAACCCCCCAGAACCATGCTCCTGAGCTCTGTGTGGTTTTCACTAATTAGGGTTTGGGGTGTAGGGTTTAGGGTTTAGGGTTTAGGATCCTCCTTTTGTTCATGTGTGTGGATATACTTTCTGCATAACCTGTTAAAAAGTAGGTTGGGGGATTGTTAAGGGTGCGGGGTCAACCTTCTCCCAGGTCCCAGGTTGGGATGTGCAGGGTTTTCTTGGTTTTGAGGCTGTCTTGCCGTAGGGTTTATCTGGTTACCTGCAGCCTCCAAACCTTCGTACTTTCTCAACCCTATCAGGCGGCTATAGGCTTGAGTATTTCGGATGTAAGGTTTAGGGGATAAATTCAGACCTCCAACCCACTCCAAACACTTGCCTTGGCTACCCCTCGCAGTGAAACAGTGCAAAGTGCAAAGATTCGGGTGCTTCCAATATCCTAGACCCTAGAACCTATACCCTAAACCTAAACCCCTTCTATGCGCCTGTTCCTGCGTTTCTTTGTCATTGTCTACCCTTATTCTTCCTTTTTGGGGGTCTTTTTTTGGTTCTGGTTGCCCCGAGGCCCAAAGCATCCTTTCTCCAGGTCATCTTTAGGGTTTAGGGTTGAGGGTTGAGGGTTTAGGGTTTAGGGTTGAGGGTTTAGGGTTTAGGGTTGAGAGTTGAGGGTGTAGGGAGTTATTAGAGTGTTTTGGTTTTAGCGTGGGTTAGGGTGCTGGGCTTGAATGGTCCATTCTCTCTCTCTCTCTTTCTCTCTCTCTGTCTTTCTCTCACTCTCTCCCTTTCTCTTTCTGTTTTGTTTTTTTGTTTGTTTGTTTCTCTCTGTCTCTCTCTCTCTCTCTCTCACTGCGCTGTTTTTTTGAGGTAAACCCTCAAAATGTACCCTAAACCCGTAAACCCCTAAACCCCTAAACCCCTAAACCCTTTAAACCCCTAACCCCGAAGCCCCTAAACCCCTCAACCCTTGAAACCCTAGGACGAAAAAAAAAGACAGCAAAGCAGTCGAGGCAACCCAGAAGGATAGACTGAACCCAACGCGGGTTTAGGGTTTAGGGTTTAGGGTTTAGGGTTTAGGGTTTAGGGTTTAGGGTTTAGGGTTTAGGGTTTAGGGTTTAGGGTTTAGGGTTTAGGGTTTAGGGTTTAGGGTTTAGGGTTTAGGGTTTAGGGTTTAGGGTTTAGGGTTTGCAGACTGTAGGGTTTTAGGGTTTAAGGTTTAAGGTTTAGGGTGTAGGGGTTTAGGGTTTATAGGGTTTTAGGGTTTCAGGTATTTAGGGTTTTGGGATTTTGGGTTTGTTCCGTCTCCCAGCGCGACATCTCTAACACCTGTGTCAGTGACCTTGCGTGTGTTTTTGTTTTGTTTGGCGGGGTTGCCGTGTACCTTGCATGGTTTCAGGCTTCAAACCATGCCCCCACGTGTCTCTCACATCGGAAATGGAACTCTCTCTGGACGTCGCACGTCTTCGGCACTGCCTCGAAGGGGTCTCAGAAGGTACTCAAGGGAGGGGGTCAGAGCGGAAGAGGTAGTATAAGAACGGCGGTTTGCTTACCACCCCTTTTGGACACGCTTTCCTTTAGGACCCCAAACCCACAACCTTAAAACCTAAACCTAAACTTCAACTCTAAAACGCAATCAAGTCCGTAGTGTGCCGAAGGGTTGAGGGCCTAGGGTCAAAGGGTACTACCCGAAGTGTCCATGTACCGGGAGCCCGCCATACTGAGCTACCAGTTCCAGAGTTGAGGATTCAGGCTTGAATCTGTAGGTTGAGGGTATCCTGGACACTCCCCGCGCTCCTCCGAAACCTCTTCAGGGCTTAGGGTTTAGGGTTTAGGGATTACTTGGAGGTTCATGGTACTTAGCAGCCAATTATAACTGTACTTATGACTGTACTTATAACCATATTGGGGCACTTAAGGGGCTTCCCAGTGGGTTATAAGTACAGCTAGAATTGGGTGAATAAGTACCATACACTTGCCATAAACCTCCAAGTAGGGTTTAGGGTTTAGGGTTTAGGGTTTCGTGCATCTTGAACTCGGACTCCGAAATCTGCAGCTCACCCCGCACCTTCCCACTGGGCCGTGATGCTTTTGCTGGGCCCTGGGCTCAAGGGCTTTAGGACGTTTGGGGTTTAGGACGCTTAGGCTTTAGGGTTTAGGGTTTAGGGTTTAGGGTTTCGGGTTTCGGGCTTCGGGTTTAGGGGCGTATGGGGCATATGGGGCGTATGGGGCGTCATAAGGGGCTTTTGCTAGTAGGTTTTTGCTGTTAGTAGGGTTAGGGTTTAGGGTTGCTTTGGCCGTTTCGGTTTTGGGTGCTTGGTTTAGGGTTTAGGGTTAACTAAGGGTTTGGATCAGGGTTTCGTGTTTTGGACCGACACTGAACCACCAATGCACCCCCCCCCCCCCCCAAAGCACCAAACTCAACAGCCGGGCCCTCTAACCCGTTGACCCTAAACCCTAAACCCTAAACCCTAAATTTCTAATTGCCAACATCCCAAGCCCAACCAAACCCAAGGCCGAACCTGCAAGGCCCTCAAGAGCCTAAAAGCTTGAACGCTGGATAAACCCTAAACCCGAAAGCCTTGAAACCCTTCGTTGATAGGGGCGTAGTCCCCCTAACCCTAAAACCCCTCAACCACGAAGGGGATCTAAATATAGGTAATTAGACTGACAGTCGCGTTGGATGATCTAGGCTCCGGTTTTCAGGCCTAAGCCCTACTGACCCTGAAGCCAACCACAAACCCTAAACCCTAAACCCTAAACCCTAAACCCTAAACCCCAAACCCTAAACTGCAGCTGGAGCTGCTAATACCCCGGATAGGGTGGCGGGTAGTGCTGGCAGGGAGGTCCCCATGGGGGCGGCGGCGCATAAGCAGCCGGGCTCCACTCCTGGTTTGGGGTTTCGGGTTACTTTAGGATTTTGTGCATGGTGCGAGGGAAGTTCTCGCACTAGATTAGGTAGACTGCGGGAGACGTGAACAAAATAACCTAAACCCAAAAACCCTATAACCCGAAGCATTCGTAGGGACACCTGCCCTGGAGCTAGGCCGGTCGTTGCGCGCCCTCTGTCCAGACATCATCTCTTCAAGAAACTGGAGAAACATTTCCTCTCGTGGGGGCTGTCGCGTGCCTCTCCGCGAGCTCAGGGTCTCTCTTTTTCCAGGAGCCAAGAATGCCGGATAACAATGGATTGCGGGCCATGAAATGCCCATGCCACGATCACTGAAGAGTCTGTACAATTGTATGCATGCAATTCGCGATGCATATGTGTATTGCGCAAGGATCTGGATGTCCGAAAGCTTGCACTGCAAAGCTGTACAATGACCTTGCGCTGCGGGGATTTGGTGCACTTGATAGCACTTGTTGCTTGGCACGAACGCGGGATTAGGCTGCAAGGTCGGCAAGATGATTTCCAGTCCTTTCGAAAACTGTAGTAAACGAGAGGTAACAACATAATTCAACCGCACATTCAGCAGAGGGACTCTGCAGCAGGTGTGAGCACAATGGTCTGTTCCGGCTCTGGGGCTGGCAGGCAAGCCCCTTCCTCATCCAGGATCACACGCATCCGTGCAACTTCCGACTTCTGGTGGAAAACCCTCACACCTCCATCATGGGCTGTGCCAGAGAGGCTCTGAAGGCCATCCAAGCTTTCGGCAGCAGCAGCCAAGAGCGTCGCCCGAAGAGCGCACGGGCTCAAGTTTTCCAGGTTGTCGGGTGCGTGAACATCTACATCTCCAACGACAGGCAGGCTGAGTATCCACCTTTCAGCTTCCGTTCTGTGCTCACCCTCGCGTGCTGCGAAGAGGGTGCCTTCTGGTTCGGGCTCCACCTCACTTGAAGTGTCGCTCTCCGCTACCTTCGGAGAGGTCCGGGAGGTGCATGTAGAGCCAGCATCCTCATCCAGTTTGTTCAGGAAACTAAAGATGCGTTCCGGGTACTTGCCATGCAGGATGCCGCAAGGGATCCCTGCACAGTGGGCCGTCCGGGCAGCAGCTACCTTGGTGGACATGCCGCCAGTGCCCAGGGAAGAGCCAGGTTCACGGGTGTCAACGTCGAGTTCGAAGGCCTCGTTGACAACCCTCATAGGCTCCGCGGATGGGTCCAAATTGGGGTTGGCCGTGTACAGGTAGTCCACATCGGTGAACAGAAAAACGCCTGCTGCCCCTAGCTGAACCGCTGTTAGGGCCGCCAGGTTGTCGTTGTCGCCGAAGCGCATGCCGTCCGTGTTGGTGGTGTCGTTCTCATTGATGATTGGAACCACGCCAGCTTCGAGACATGCTGCAATCGTGTCTCGAATTTCAGCCCAGCGCTGCTGCTCCAAAAAGTCACGCTGACTCACCAAGAGCTGAGCAATTTTTAGCCCCACTGTCTCGAAGAGCTCCGAGTACACACGCATGATGCGACTTTGGCCAGCCCCAGCGACTGCTCGCTTCAGCGCCGGCGTCGTGGGCTTCTTCTTCAACCCCAGCTCCCTGCAGCCCATGCCAACTGCGCCGGAAGAGGCAAGGACAACCTTGAACCCTTTGTAGGCAAGGTCTGCGATGACTTCAACTAGCCTCGAGAGGTTCGCGACATTCACCCGCTGGCCTCGCCCGTCCGAGGTCATGATCGTCGAAGTTCCGACCTTCAACACGAGAGTTTGGCACGCGGCCGACATCGTGTGTCAAGAGCGTGTAACTTAACAAAATCCCTCTACGCCTTTCTCTATGTGCTGTGCTTGAGCCAACGAGCGGTTTTTGGGGCAAGGCCTTCAGAATGTGGAAGGCCTGACGCTCTGCATGTCGACATGCCGGTTCCCAATACAGCAGATTCATAAAGACAAGTTTGCATGGGGTCTTGCAAGTCTAGCGTTGGGCCTCAAGTTTGTTAAGTATAGGGATGGTGTAGGACCTTGCTAAACTATTTTTTGCTTAAGAACTTAAGAACGCCCAAAAAGGATTTGAAGGACAAAAACTCAAAACACAAAACAAACTCCCGTAAAAATGGTAATGTGGGGATTCTTATCTTGTTGTGTTAGGGGGGGGGGGGTGCTTAAGCAAATAGGAGTATGCCTTGCGCCCAAAACATGCCAAACCCCAAATCCTAGATCCTAAACCCTAAAACCCCAACCCCCAAACCCTAAAACCCTAAACCCCTGAACCCTAAAACCCCAGACCCTAAACCCTAAACCCTAAACCCCAAACCCTAAACCTAAACCCTAAATCCTAAACCCCAATCTGACGCGCTCCGGCGGATTGGGATGCCAGTGCGATGGCGGGGGCGGAGGCCAACCATGGCATGGCGTGAGGATCCACGTCCACCACCTTGAGGGTTTAGGGTTTAGGGTTTAGGGTTTAGGGTTTAGGGATTGAGGTTTGGGTTTAGGGTTTAGGGGTTTAGGGTTTTAGGGTTTTAGGTTTAGGGAAGGAGGCAGCTGGCATATGTGTACTTGTGATATGGTCACATGGTTCGCTACACCCAGAGATCGTGACACCCTCAACCCTGAAAGCTCAACCCTAAACCCCTCAACCCTAAGCCCTAAACCCTAAACACTGAATCCCTGAACCCAAAAGCCCCTGAACCCTCAACCCCTCAACCCGAATCCCTAAACCCCTAAACCCCTAAACCCTAAACCCCAAAACCCCAAACCCAAAACCCCCAAACTCCTAAACCCCTAAACCGATCCAGCCGCCAGTCTGGAGGCGGCAGTCCGCCACGATAGGTCTCGCCGTAGATCATTTGTTCTCCTTCCAGGCCCGGCCCCTAATTGTCAGTTTAGGGTTTAGGGTTTAGGGTTTAGAGTTTAGAGTTTAAGGTGTATAGGGTTAGGGTTTAGGGCTTCGTTTTCAGGATTTAGGGTTTTCTGACTCGCCCCGTGTCGCACTCTCCAGCAGAGATTAATACCCTCGAGCCCTAAACCCTAAACCCTAAACCCTAAACCCCAAACCCTAAACCCCTAAACCCTAAACTGAAACCCCGAACAAGAAGCCCCAAGCCTAAACTCGCCTAGAGAACCCGGCCCTCTTGAGTCGAACCTTCAAGTCCTTCAGGGGGGTTTAGGGTTTAGGGTTTAGGGTTTAGGGATTAGGGTTTAGGGTTTAGGGTTTGGGGTTTAGGGTTTAGGGTTTAGGGTTTAGGGTTTGGGGTTCAGGGTTTAGGGTTTAGGTAACCCCCGCCCCCCCGATAGCCCCCCAGCATTTCGGGGTTTCAGGCATCTACACCTCTGGCGGCCGCCTGCCAGGTTGTGATGTCAGTTTAGGGTTTAGGGTTTAGGGATTTTCGGGTTTAGGGCAGGACCGGGGATCGAGGAGCCCGAGAGTTTTCGGGTTTAGGGTTTAGGGATTGGAGGATCAAATGTCTGAAGCCCAAAACCCTAAACCCTGAGCCCCTGAACAACCTCAACCCTAAACCCCTACCCCTGCGTGCGGGCCTAAGCCCCTGAAACCTTCTGAGTTTGCCCTTGGCCTTATGTAGTCTGGAGCTTAGGGTTGAAATGGGTTTAAGCTTCGGGGGTCAAACCGGGGAGAACCAGCCGAAACAAGCTGTCGGGTCTTCGGGTTAGGGCTTCAGGGTTTTAGGGTTTGGGGTTTAAGGCTTTAGAGCTTGGGGCTTCAGGGCTTTAGGGTTTTGGGGTTTTGGGGGTTGAGAGGGGTGCCCTGGCGGTGGCCTACAAATGCTGGCGCGACCGTGGCCACGGAACTCCTGGGCGCCTTCGCCCCCCCTGGGTGCAGCCACCTGGGCGCGGAGTTAGGGTTTAGGGTCTAGGGTTTGCTGTTTAGGGTTTGGGGTTTAGGGATAAATTCAACCAACAAATCAAAGGCCTTTGCGTAGAGAAAAGACCTGCTTTGGGGACCCTAAACCCTAACCCTACCCCCCCCCCCCCCCCCCCCCCCCCCCTTGAGGGGCCTGGCTCAACCCTACCCCAAAAAAACCCCAAGGCTTGAGCCCTAAGCCCTCAATCCTAAACTAAGCCTCAACCCTAAACCCCAAACCATAAAACAATAAACCCGGAACCCTAAACCCTAAACCCAACCCTTATTGCTTGGAGTCCAGCGACTTGAGCGCTATATAAATCACCATGCTCACGTGGATGCGCTGGGCCGGGCCGAGGCGGGTCGCGTAGCGTTAAAATTAAATCTAAACCCTAAACCCTAAACCCCAAACCCTAAACCCTAAACCGTCCGTAAGTAAGACCAACTTTGGGGCTACTTAGTGCCGACTTGGGGTTCAGGGTGGCTTGCCGGGGTCGAGGGTTTAGGGCTTGTGCTGAGCTGAAGACTACGTTAGGGTTTAGGGTTTAAGGTTTAGGGTTTAGGGTTTAGGGTTTAAGGTTTAGGGTTTAAGGTTTACGGCTTAGGGTTCAGGGAAGGGTGGATCCATGTTACATAACTCCACGGTTTGGGGCTTTGGTTTGCAGTTGTAGGGCTTAGGGCTTTACGGCTTGTTAGCATCCCATAGGCTCCAAAGGGCCTAGAAACCTCCACCCGTAACCCCGCAAGCCCTTTCTGGCTCTCTCTTATTCTTGAATAGGGTCAGAGTTGGGCCGTTGCTTCTCAGACCTTCTCCAGGGTCTAGGATTTAGGGTTCAGGGTTTAGGGCAATTTTGCTCAGGGGCTTGAGGTGTAAGGATTTAGGGTTCAGGGTTTACAGGGCCTAGGGTTTATACAGCGTTGCAGGGTTTGGGTTTGAGGGTTTAGGCACCTTTCTTCGCAAGGGCCGAGTTGAGGTTTAGGGTTTGGGGCAACAGTTGAAAGGTCTTAGCGGCGGTGGCGGGGGTGATTGAGGGGTCCTGCATCTCATAAGGGGTATCCAAGCATAAAACAAAACGCGAATGATCCTACAGCCTAAACCTTGAACCCTAAACCCTAAACCCTAAACCCTAAACCCTAAACCCTAAACCCTAAACCCTAAACCCTAAACCCTGAACCCCACATGAAAGGAGGTCGAGAAGCGGCTGCTGCTGCGGAATCATCTGGGCCATGGCTGCTTGAAGGGCCCAAAGAAATGCAACTCTTCCACACCCCGAGCTGGAGTCCTCCTGGCCCTAAACCCTAAACCCTAAACCCTAATCGCCTGAAATCCCAGTTCGGGCTACACCCAACCTACTGCCCTCCAGACCTGCACTTCCGCGACAACTTGCTGAGCTGTACTTAAACCCGTGCGCCGCCAGTCAAAATCATAGAAGCTGCCAAACTCATCCCCGTGTCGGCCCTAGAGGTGACTGAGCAGAACAAGGATTTAGGGTTTAGGGTTTAGGGTTTAGGGTTGAGTTTGGGACGCAAGCATGATCAAGGATGTGGGAGGACGCCCGAGGATCATGGCCCCTGGTAAATTTTACTAGGTGGTAATTCCATACGGAGCCAGGTATTTCGGGTACACCAAAAGGGGCCGTGTCGAAATTAAGCCCAGCCCCCTTGGGAACCTGCCGCACGCGTGAATGTAGTGTCGTGACTTAATTCTACTTCATTGCAACATCCCATGCTGCTCGCTGAAACGGTGCACGAAACATCGTATGCCTCGTGCCAGTTTTCGCATCCCTGCACTCACCGACACATTCTTGCTGCAAGACAGTGCTGCCATCAGATGAAGAGGGGCGAGTACCAACTGACAGAGCCAACTCATTCGCTCTCGTGGGTTGGGTACTAGGTCTCCGGTATCTTGGGGGGCAAATGAACCCAAAAATTGGGGGCTGCCCTATACTACTATAATCCCCATTCAGGTATGTGAACCCTAGACCCAGAACCCTTTTAGGGCCAGCTCATTTCGTCCCCACGCTAGCTGCGGACTGTTTCTTCTTCACGCTGCACGTGTCAACTGAAGGCCGTAGTCGTAAATGGCCACCGCGTTGCCGTTTGCCTTCCACGGATCCAGATATCTTCACACTCGAAACCCTAGAGCCTCGCGCAAGTGAGTACAATCAATACATAGCTATATATATATATATATGCACAAATATATATATATATATATATATATATATGTGCTACCCCCCCCCCCCCCCCCCCCAGCGACCTACCCTTTTTAGGCCTTTTTAGGCCTTTTTAACAAAAAATCACAAAGAAGACCCAAAAGTCGCGTAGTTAATCGCCGGGTAATGAAGGACAGTTACTGGGACACCCACCTCACAGACCCCGATAAGCCAGCATTGGAAGAATCCACATTTTGAATCTGAAACGGACAATGCTGTTTTTAGATGTTTAGATCAGTGTTGTTCTATGCAAATTGTGCGTTTCAAGGGCCATTACTGTTTTGTTGAGCAACTAATTTATTTATACAATTGTGTTTGTACGAGGCAAAGTATTAATCAAATCGTGAAACTTTTTTCTTGGTTCTATGCGAATTTAGCTACTAGAGTAATTATTAAGCAAAGAGCCCAATTTGACTCAAGTGAATACTATTTAAAGGAGCATACTCAACCAAGATACGAAATAAACACCATTCTCAACCAAAAAAATGGCAAAGTGTGCGTTTAAAGTGCAAATACTGTATTTATACAATTGTGTTTGTACTAGGCAAAGTATGCTCTCTGAAAGTCCACTGAAATACCTTATGTTTGCATATTCATGAATCGGTTTTATTTTTGAAAAATTCATTTTATGCGAATTTAGCTACTAGAGTAATTATTAAGCAAATAGCCCAACTTGACTCAAGTGAATACCATTTAAAGGACCATACTCA